GGAGGGAAGAGACATTGATGACCCTGCAGGGTCTGGTCTGGGGTGGGTAGGTGATGGTGCCGTTGGTGAGACAGCCCAGGGAAGGAGCGTAGGTGACAAGTGTGCTCCTAATAGATGAACCTTTCTATCCAGCCCCAGACCTTTCCAGACCAGCATGGTGCTCGGCAAAGGGTAGGCAGCCAGCCAACAAGTGAACTGCCCTTGTCACCCTGTGATTTTCTGCCACCACCACCATGGGCTGCTGGCACTAAAGGCAGAGAACCCTCCAGACCAGGGGTCCTCCCTGACTGGGAGCCCCATGGTCCTGACCCCTGCTCTGTCCCTGTCCTTCCCCCAGCACAGAAGCCCTACTGTCACCCAACAATGAAAAATCCTACAATTGCTTTTGTATCCTCTGCCTGCTTCCTTCAGGTCTGCCTGCTTCATGCTAACAGTCCCAGGCATGCGTGGTTAATCCCGGGCCCCATGGTGACAGGAGGACATTTTGGCAATATTTTTTTTTTTCTGTGAACAGGCAGTTCCTAAAATTACACAGCATGAGTGACCTGCTCTGCTCCTCCTGGCTTGCTGCGAGCTGTGTCCTCATGATCTAGCTTTGCCCTCTGCAGGGTTTTTTTGGATTTTTTTTTCTTGGTACTGAGAATTGAACCTAAAGTGCTCTACTATAGAGGAACTCAACCCAGCCCCTTTTATTTTATTTTAAGATGGTCTCGCTAAATTGCCCAGGCTGCCATATCCCCACCTCAGACTCCTGAGTAGCTGGAATTGCAGGCAAGTGCAGCCACACCCAGCACTGGAGGTTTTCTGGGTCACTCATTGGCCATAGGCCATGGCTTTCTAAAAGGCAGCTAATACTCCACAGAAAACCAGCCCAGTTTCCTTAAGGAACCAAACACTGTTGAATCAACTCTATGTAAATGGCTATTGAAACTGTTCACTGAGCTCCCCGAGCCTAGCGGTTCTCCTCTGGGTACCTCTTCCACTGACTTAGGCAGTTTCCAGATGGCTGAGTGACAGCCATGAGCCACTGGTCCGAGCATCTTGCTGGAGGCGTATTGGCAGAAGGTTGTCCCCCTAGTACTAACAGGGAAATTTTGCCCACATGAAAGGAACCGCAGAGATATCTTTATCCAGTGCCCTGATTTACAGATGAAGAAATGGAGGTTTAGACAGGCCGGGTGTGACATGGCTGGTGGGGCCACAGCAGAACTAGATGCAGGCCTGCTAACTTCTACCCTCTGTGACACCCTCTGGGGACCCATTCTAATATTTAGCAATTTTACTTCTGTGCAGAGGAAAGGTGTTTTTCTGAAGAGCTGGCCAAGTCCCAAGTAGGAGATTCCCCCAAAGGAACTGAAACCCTTCCACTCCCTGTGGCTAATCCCACGTTGTTTTGCCTTCAGAAGCCACAGATGAAGCACTCCGGGGAGGGGTGGAGGCCCCGTGGACTCAGACTCGTGTCCTGATTTCCTCTGGACAGAAGAATTACATGCTGTTTTCTAGGCCTTGATCAGGGTAGCATGTCCCTCCAGATGCCTCCCAGACTCTGCCCCGTGGCTGGGGACCCAGCTGTCGCCTGGTAGGCCTGGGGGTTCAGCCTGCTTTGCAAATTCTCAAGTGCTCTGATAAAGGGCAGAGCTCCACAAATGGAACCAACTGTGCTCCTCTCCTGGGGCTGCATCTCTCCTGGCCCCTACCTCTCCTCCTGGGAGCCCAGGCTTTGTTTTGTTGGTGGAAAATCCTGCTCCTCATTATCACACATCATACCCAAAGATGGAGGGAAAGGATAGCATTAAATCCCAAATAAATACCAACAGCATTCCAGGCAAATGCTCCTAGCCCAGGGGTCCAGAGCCTCCAGACACCACAGGCCCCAACATGACCAGGGAGCCTGGTGTGTTCTATGATACCCAGCACAGCGCCACCTTCTGGGAAGAAATGGAAGGGACACCTAGGTCCCCTACTAATTTTGAAAACTAGGCGGCAGTTCTTAAGGAGACCACTGGAAACTTTATAAAGTATTCATGCCTGGATCCCCCTCTTGGACATACTGATTGGCCCAGGTGGTGGCCTTGGTTTTTCACAAGTGATCGTGCAGCCAGGAATAGGAGGACATAGAGAAGGAGACCATCTAGCCCAGGGTTCATTATGAGGTACAAGAATGGACTACAGACATGAATCTGAGAATCTGAGAATTGTTCTATGTAAATGATCATTTCTCTAGACAAAGGATCCACAGATTCACAGTGGGTTCCATGTACCCCAATACATTAATTGTCCCCAGGCCATCTTAAGCATACCCTTTTGGTGGTCCCAGATTCAGATGCTCAGCCCACACTCTGGTTTGGAAGAGACGGGGTTAACTAGATTAATGGGAAATGGATAATGTGTATATATCTATAAAGGGACTGTACCCATTAAAAGCCAAGTTTCTCATCTTTTTTTGCTGGAGTGAGATCAACTCAGCATGGTCATGTTGACTATCTCATGCTGTTCAGAATCTCTTCCTGGCACTATGATATGCCTTTGATTAATAAAAAATGAGAAATGAATTATTACTTAATTAATGCACTATGTTTGGTAGGCAAAAGCCCTCAAAACATAATGTTGGAAAAAGTAATCAAAGGGGTCCTTAGTGGTTATAGATTGCAAACCACTGATCTAATTAATATAACTCAATCATTTGAGAGATGAAGAAACTGAGGACCAGAGAGATTAAGGAACTCTCTTGAGGTCACATAGCAAGTTATACAAAGTTGAAAGCTTCACCCAAACCCTACAGAAATGCTCTAGGTGACAAAGGGCATTATGTGTGGGATTTTTTTAGTCATAGAGGTTAACTGATGGGAGTTTCCATTGGTCATTCTCATCCATTGCTCAAGTCCATTCACCCAGACTCAGAAAATCTTTCTCTTGTCATGGAGGTTGTATGGGCCAAGATAACCCACACCCACAACAAATTTAAAAATCCCATCGTAATCCCAGGATTTCATTGACTCTAGGATATCAACAATTGTAAGAATGCACCATTGTTTTTTGAATCACTAAGAAAAAGTGCTGCCAAGTATAAGTGTAAGATGCATCCCAATTTTAGAGAGAAAAAAATGTGCATCATAGAATGGAAGAAATGGAGTCGTATAGCTGCAGCCCTTGTATAATGTCCTTCCTCCAGGTTCTCTTACCTGGTGAAGGTGCCAAGGAGATTAAATGGCACTTGGAAGAAATTGTATCTATTTAAAAAGCACAAGTGTAAGAACAGGCCCGCCCACTCCACAGGATCCCAGGACAAAGTCCTGGATTTGCCCTCTGAAGACTTGGCTTTGGGTTTCAATTCTGAAATGCTCCCTAATGGTGGTATCCTGGGAATGTTCTTATTATTGGCAAGCCTCAGTTTCTTCATCTGCAAAACGGAGATAATATACCCTTCCTCATCCTCACAGAGCAACTGGGATGCTCAGAAGAGAAAATGGCAGAGCTGTGAAAATTGAGCTGCGTAGGTGCCTAGACCACTCAGCTGAGGTCTGTGACCATCCAGAACAGAAAGTGAAGAAATGACGTGGGGGTGGGTTACGGAGAGTCACTCTGGGCACCTGGGGAACCCTTCACAGGGATAGGTCCTGAGGAGTGGACGGAGCAGGGAGAAAGCCATTTCGTTCCACACCCAGGACCCCTTGAGGAAGAACCACTCATCCTAAGACAGAGGACAGGGAGCCCAAGGAGGAGTCCACCTTCCCAGGAACAGATGGTAGAGATAACCAGAGATCTCAGGGGTCCTGGACCAACACCCTAAAATGCCACATCTGGCACCTGAGAACACTCATGCCTGTACACGTGTGTGCAAATGCACACCCATCTGCTCTGCTGGTGTGACACAGAACTGGTTATTCAGCCTCTTTAACCAGGCAAGCTGAGCCGCCCCAAAGGTATCCCAGGTGCTCCTTCTGAGGAGGCAACTCCCAGACCTCTACATCAGCAGTGTCCTTTCCCTACCCGCTTCTCGGGACCAAAAGGGAATGAGACAGTTGCAAAGAAATCTCTCCTCCTCCGTCCTCCTGAGAGGAGTGCGTGGAGCACGGTGGCCTTCCCGGGCTGGAGGCGGTGTGATGGAGTGGGCAGGCCCTGGCTGTGTGCTCATCCGGGCTCTGCCCCTACCTAGGGGTGACCTCAGGCCTTCTGCCTTTCCTCTGTGGTCCTGTTTCTTCAGGGACTAGTGGCCCAGCTGTAGGAACTGAACTGGAAGGCAATGTTTATAAGTGCCCCAAGGGGACATGTGGACAAGAGCAGAGGCGCACCGCGAGGGGAAGAAAGCCCAGGGTGGGAGTGATGGGGAGGAGCAGCTCCGGGACGTTCTGATCCTTCCCACAGTTCTCCTGCCTCATGATAGGGGCACAATCAGCATCCCACTGAGAAGCATGGAATTGGGGGTCACACTGGGATTCAGAATCTGCCTCTACACCCCATAAGCCTCCTAATCTCTCTACCCTCCATTCCCTATCTATAAAACCTGGCACCCAGACTATTCTCTCAGGCTCTTGAGAGGCTAAGTAAGATGGTGTGTTTAAAGCGTATTATATGTTTTAGATGCTCCACTCTTGATATCATACTAGTATTATGGGACGATGATCCCATTTGTTTTAGATGCTCCACTCTTGATATCATACTAGTATTATGGGACGATGATCCCATTTGTTTTAGATGCTCTACTCTTGATATCATACTAGTATTATGGGCATCGGGATGATGATCCCATTTGTTTTAGATGCCCTGGTATGTATACTATTTAGTTTAAAGGTCACAGTAGGGCTATTATTAATTTAGATGCTACAGTATGATTTTATATCAACATAAAAGGTCACAGGAGTCTATTATCAGTTTAAGATAATACAATATGAACATCATATTCATATTTTATTATGCGGTGGGTATGTGGTGGGCACTGGATAGATGTCCTCCTGCCCCCCCCACCTGTCACCACCCGCTCTCATCCGAGTCCCCCACAGGTGGGCGGGGCGGCGGTCATGGCCGTGGGCGTGTGGACCCTGGTGGAGAAGAGCGGCTACCTCAACGTCCTGGCCTCCAGCACCCTCGCCACCTCCGCCTACATCCTCATCTTCGCGGGCGCCCTGGTCATGGTGACCGGCTTCCTGGGCTTCGGTGCCATCATCCGGGAGCAGAAGAGCTGCCTGTCCACGGTGAGTGCCTGGGCTGGGGACAGGTCCTGCGCTGCCACCGCCCCCTGTGACAGTGGCCTCAGCCCTGGATGAGAAAGGTGCTGGGGCCGGAAGGGACAGGGACAGGGAGGCCCTCCAGGGTCCAGGTTGCCACGTTCGCCTGGGTCCTAGGACCCCCAGGGCAGCCGTGCTGCGGCCTTCTGCGTCTGCTCCCCTTTCCCCTCCTCCTCCCCCCTTCCTTTCCCGCTTCCTCTTCTTCCTCCTCCTCTTCCCCTTCCTCTTCTCTTTCTCTTTCTTTCCCTTTTCTCCTCCTCTATTTCCCTTCTCCTTCCCTTCCTCTCCCTCTTCCCTCTTTTTCCTCCTCCTCCTTTGGAAAGATAAGGAGTATGCTCATACAACTCCAGGATCCTCACCGGCTCACCGGCTGGCCTCCCTAGCTGACCTCCTCTCCTGCGCACCATGACTGCCCTCTCCTCTGCCCCCTGGCGTTTTGAAGGCCATGACCCCATCATGTCGTCTGTGCATATTTCATCATGTGGCTCTCAAACTTCAGGATCCTTTTTTTTTTTTAGGAGGCAGAACAATATTACTATTATCATATCTTTAAACAATTCATTCTTCAATATCGTGAAACAACTAGACGGTTTCAGATTACCCCAACTGACCGGGAAACTTCTTTCTTTTTAAGTTTGAGTCACATCTAAACTAGGTCCACGTGTTAAAACTGGTTGATTTGCTTCCTAAGTCTCTTTGGGTCCCTGAGCTCCACAGTCAATTTCAATCTCTGTCTCTCTCAATCTGTGGGTTGAAGGAATGAGGTCGTTTGTCCTGTAAAGTTTCTGGATTTTCCGGTTACATCCCTGTGATGTTGTTTTACATGTTCTCCATCCATGAGCTCAATCAGGTCTAATTAATTGGGTTGTGTGGCTGGGGTGCTTCATGCTGCTGCTCATAGGCACTGTGGGCTCCTTGACACACTTCTCCTGGGAAGCTGGGAAGAATATCCACACCTGCTCAGAGTCAGGAAAAAGGGCCAGGTGGGAAACTTGCAGGAGAGCCAGAGGCCTGGAGTCCAGCTCAGGACTCAGGTGGACCCAGCTCCTTGGCACCCTTGAACTGCTTGGCAGTGGCTGGCTCCTGTGGCCCGGGAGGATCTCGGGTGGGGGATCCTCCTCACCCTACAGCTCCTCCTGGGGGCCAAGGCCAATGTGCAGAGGAGGAAAGGACAAGGAGGCTGAAAAACAGTCCCAATGAGCAAGGAACTGGCCCAGGTCTCAAAGAGAAACCAGGCCTCAGGAAGGGGCCTGGAGGGCCCTTGCGGTCCCCATGCCTGCTACCCAGAATCCACTGTGGGCTTTGCAACTGTCTTGCACATGGTTCCGGGGAAGGGTGCTGCCCGGGAGCCCGAGGGTGGCCCTGCAGCCCTCTCACCAGCAGCGACCTACTTTCTCGCCCTGGATATAAAAGCTGCTGCATGCACACCCCGCTGGATGGCTCGCCCCTGTTTTGAAGAATTCCTTCATTTTATTCTGAGGAATAGCCCAGAGCCAGAGTGCTGGCAGGTGCACAGTGAAGGGCTGTAGGGGGTGAAACCCTATGGTACACCGGCCTCCAGGACGTGGGTTTTGAGCTCCTTTCAGCAGTGGAGACGAGGTGCTTTGAGCAGCCTGGGTCTCCGTCACGTGGCCTGGAGTGAGTACGGTCGTCCTTTGGTATTGGTGGGGGATGGAATCCGCAGATGCTCAAAGCCCTTATATACATAAAACGGTATAGGCAGTGGGAGAAAATACCAGGTATTTAAACTAACAACACATGCTGCCGGGGTGAGGGGCGTGCTGTCCATCTCCCAAGACCATGTGACCTACCACACCTCCTGGCCTCCAGAGAGGTATTTTCACCCCACTTTACATATGAGGAGACGAGGCTCAGAGATGCAGAGCTGGACTAAAAACCCAGTCTTCAGAATCCCCTCCAAGCATGCACTTGCCCTGGGGATACCGATGGAAGATGGAGGCACGGGAGCTGAGTGGGGAGGATGTCAATGTCGGCACACGGCGCCCCCCATCCTGTGGAGGGCAGTGCAGATCTGGGGCACCCAGAGATCTGGTTGGAGGCAGAGGAGAACCTGGGACAGGGCCCAGCCCCAGACGTAGCGGGGAGACCAGGAGCCTGGCAGTAGGACCTGGACGCCTGAATATCCATGGGCTTCCTTGCCACCATTAGAGTAAGGAGATAACAGCACACCAGGGTCACAGCTGGCTCAGTTTGGAGGGGAACTTGAGGGCCATGGAGTCCAACACCCACCCAGAGATTCCAGGCTGCAGGACCCTGCAGGGGTGAGCTTGCCCAGGCACTACCAGGGCATACTCCAAACTACTGGCTTTTGTGAGAAGGCTCATCATAATCGCTCTTCCCTTGGGCAGTCTCAGAGGTCAGAACAGCCGAGGGCTCAGCTCCTGCCCTTGCCCTGCTCCCCACACCTTCATGGCCCCTCCCTCCTCACTCAGTTCTTACACAGTCCATCATCTGTCCAGCCATCCTGGCTGATCCATGATGAAATTTGTCTCCAGCCTCCCTGGGCACAGCCTATCCCTTGGTCTCCATGGACTGTTCAGAGGGCACCAAGCTCTGTGTGCCCAGGACAGTGCAGGAAAGATGAGACGTAGGGGAAGGTCAGGGCCTATGCTTGTCCTTAGCTCACCTTCTGAACTCAAGGGTTGAAACATGGAGAGAGCTATGCCATCCCTCTGTGGCTTGAGGCAGGACTGGGGCACAGTGGCTGTTGGACAATCTGGTTTGAGATACTTCCTTCTTAGTTCTGCTTCTTCTGAAGAGATATGCCTGTGTCCATGCACACCCCACCCAGCACGGATGACCTCTCTGGCTCAGTGTCACTGAATATCCATATGAGGAAGCAACAGCTTGAAACTGAAGTCAGGAACAAGATAGAAGACACAGTAACAAACCCACATAAATATAGTCATCTCATCCTAGACCAAGATGCCATGAACATTCATTGGAGAAAAGATAGCCTCTTCAACAAATGGTGCTGGGAAAACTGGAAACCCATATGTAGCAAAATGAAATTAAACCCCTATCTCTCACCCTGCACAAAACTCAACTCAAAGTGGATCAAGGACCTAGGCATTAGACCCAGAGATCCTGCGCCTAATAGAAGAAATATATAGGCCCAACTCTCCATCATGTTGGCTTAGGAACCAAATTTCCTCCACAAGACTCCTAAAGTGCAAGAAGTGAAATCAAGAATCAATAAACGGGATGATATCAAACTAAAAAGCTTTTTTACAGCAAAGGAAATATCAAGAACATGAAGAGAGAGCCTTCCGAATGGAAGAAAATCTTTACCACCTGCACTTCAGATAGGACATTAATCTCCAGGAATAAGTGTGTGTGTGTGTGTGTGTGTGTGTGTGTGTGTGTGTGTGTGTATGTGTACACATTTGCATACACACACACACACACACATACAGGAACTTGTATAGGACAGAGGGATCATGCATCTCCGGCAACAAGCTAATAAATAGCACACCCACAGCCTAGAACCTTCTTTCTCTGCTTTGCCTCCCATCCCCCACCCCCAAAGAAGCAGTGACACAGCTGGTCCAAGGACAGACAAAGGGGCAAGCAGAAGGTCCTGAGTAAGCCACATCCTGGCCCCACCCCCAGCAATGAATTATTGGGCTCTGGATTGTTTAAACAGAGAAAGTCCCCATCGGCCACTCGTGGGCTAACACAAACAGAAGTTCTTAGAACCCAGGCTCCTGTTTAGACCGAGCAATGTGGTTCCTGGAGGCTCCTTCTTGGTTTCATCTCCTCCCCCGCCCCCACGTCAAACTCCTTTTGAAATCTTTCATCGGTGGAAGGCTGAGGGAAACTGAAAGGGAGAAGCAGGGTGTCTGGCTCTACACAAAGTGATCCCCAAAGAGAAAAGGGAAAGATGAAAAGACTGGGCGTCCGAATGATGGGCATCCAACTTGGAAGGAGAGGAGGGGGAGGACTCGCATCTCAAGTTCACAGGGAGGGGCTGTCCAGCCCACATGCAGGCACACTGTCTGTCCCAGGCTGAGCCCTTCATCCTGGGACAACTGCAGCCCATCAAAGTCACTTTCTAAGAAGGAGATGCTCATCAGGGATGTGAATGGCGCGTCTCTGGGAGTGCTGAAACCATCGGCTGGGCATTGGAAATCTGCAGAGGGGGAAAGGGAATGGGCTTTAAATTATTCACACCAGCTCTTCATTTTTAGCTAAGACTGCACAAGAGGGGCAGATAATTCAGGCCATCTGAGCCTAAGGCCAATGACCAGGACCGATGCCATCAAGATCAAAAGAGGAGGCTATTTTTAGAATCTGGGTTCTGCAAACTTTTATATCGTCAGTGCAGTGAAGATCAAGATGGATGGCTCAGACTGAACTGGGTCTTCATCAGGAGCTCTTATATTTTTAGGGGATGAAGGAAAAAGTTCTAGAAACCAATTTCTAAAAATGAGGGGACCCAGCATGGCAAAGCTTCCATCCAGGATGCCAAGATTTGGTGAGCCAGGGAGGCAGGTCTCCAATCCAGGGCAATGATATCCAGGCTGGGGCTCAAAAGCAGATTTTATTGTTATTTACCCTAGTTTCTCTGGGACCCTGGGTAGGCAGGCCACTCAGCCTGTCCTTGCCACCTTGGAATTTCCATCTTTCTATGGGATGAGGTGTGAGGATAATGAAAAAGCATTTTAAGGTCTTAGGAAACGAGTCACCACATTATATAAAGATCATAAAAGGGTAGCTCTAATTAACATTTACATCACCATCACCATGGCCAACCTCCTTTGAGAAGAAACCTAAATAAGCAGAGTTATTCTTAGGGCCACTTCTCCCAGGATACCCACATCCTGGGCAAGGCCACACTCCCCAAAGAAGCTGGTGATGAGATGAAGTTTGGAGAGAGCCCGGTCCCTGTGCCCTGGGAGTTCGCGTCCACCCCAAATCTCATTAGGTTGTCTGGTTCCACTCAC